GCTGGGCAGGGGCATGACCAGTGAAGGTCTTGCTTTGACAAATGTCCTTGTGCCCAGCAATGGGAGCGGAAAAGCCTCACACCCAGCCTTTCCCACAGCATAGAAAGTTGAGTCTCTGCAGAGAAGGAATTCACAGGCTCCAGCCAGCAAAAAGAGCTACGCAGGATCGGGGTAGCTACAGCTTCTGCTTTAGCCCTGGAGTAGACTTGAGTAGAACAAATACAACAACTCTATCTACCCCAGGCACTGCCATTCTCCCTCCCCTCACGAGCCAGGCTAGGACCCACCCCAGCACCTCCTGACTCCGGGCATCTCTGCTGAATCATGAGCAAGGCAAGGATGTGGCCAACACCTCCTTAAAACCCAAGAGCCTAAGATCAGGGCTGGGCTCAGACAACCCTCCTTACCTCACCATGGGGCTGCCAAACCCACACCTTGTTCCCCAGCAGCCTGACACAGGAGGAGTGAGCAGAAGACCAAGAACTACTGAATGTGGAGGGAGCACTGCATGGGAAGGGCCAAGAGTGGTGGCTCTGGTGCCTCTGGTGCTGCAAGGCAGAAGGAAGAAGCCCAGGCTGGAGCAGGGAGACTGCTCTGTGCCCCCAGGATGCGCTACAGCCCAGCACAGTACATCCACCCGCAGCACGCAAGCCACAAGCGGGACAAGGAGATCATGGTCTTTGTAATGAGCTTTAATAGTGACCGAGTGGAGCAGGCAGCACCACAGTCCCCACACTGCAGAGGGTCCCACACTGTGCACCCAGCTCCCCCTGCCGCCAGCCTGGAGCCTGTCCCCAAGAAACTTTTTGAGCAGAGGAAGCCCACCACTGGGACAAAGTCTCAGGAATTACCTCATGGTGCTCATGGTTGCCCTCCTCCATGGGGTTTAAGGGAGGGGGGGGCAAGCAGCTGTCGCCAGCCCTGCTGCAACCCTGTGGCTGCAGTTACCAAATTCAGGCGTGGCATAGCGAAAGAAAAGGCAGAACAAGAGATGGGAATAGATTCATTCCTCTCCTTCCTCCCAAACCCAAAACAACCCATCCAACACCCACCAGCTCTGGGTGTGCAAAAGTGAAAACAGCCGGGCCCCGGCCAGCCAGCTGGCAGAGACAAGGAGCCACGGTGGTGTCCCCAAAGCAGCCCACACCTCCCTGTCCCTTACAGGGCCAGGTGGCAGAGGCGCATGGGCTCTACGTTGGCCCTCCCATCGCTGAAACAAGTGCTGAAGAAGGGGCAGTATCTCTCTGCAGAGACCTGGTGGAAGGTGAAGAGGTGGGACATGTCCCTGGCATCAAAGAAGGTGACAGTGCCCTCCTGGCAGTCCAGGAAGACCCCCACTTTCCGGAGGGGCTGGTGGGGAGTCAGGCGCACCCAGGGGGTAGCGGTGGCCCAATACTCAGTCCTGTTCCGCAGGCGAAGAGTCCAGTAGCCATTCTCTGGGCACAGCTTGACCTTTGCTGCCCGGTCCACAGCCTCAGCAGCCACCCCCAGGTCCCACTTGGTTTTGCTGCCCACCCAGACCTCCCAGTAGTGCCGGCCGCTGTCGAAGGTCTGTGCGCCCAGGACGTTGACGCACTGACGGAAGCGCCGGGGGCTGATGGGGACGGGCTGGGCTTGATCCCTCTCTGTCACTGCTGTCAGGTCCCTGGAGAAGACCAGGTTGGGATGGGCTGACTCAAGGTCGAAGGTGAGTGGGGCAGGAGCTGCGGAGGCATGGAGCATGGTGTTTCACGGGTTGCATATTCCCTCAGCAGAGCATCCCCAACCCCACCACCACCCAGCACACCCGTCTCTCACACGGATCTGCTTACCAGGGCGGATGAACTGCAGCATCTGTCTCCAGAAGATGTACTGCAAGGGGCCACTGCGGCTGTCCCGGTAGTGCTCCAGGTCAAAGGCAGGCTGGGTGTCAGCACGAACCGATGGTCTGGGGCAGAGAGAGCAGCAATCAACTCTGCTCTGCTGCTAATGAGGCTATTGCATGTGACTTATCTGGCAAAGATGTGGCTCTGCCTGATGCCCAGCACACGCCAGGCCTGCAGAGCTGGGCTGCATCCCACTGCGCCCCCCCGGGAGGCAAAGGACAGGGACGCGCTCCACTACAGCAGTTCTGGCCCTCACCTACTCACAGCCTCAAACTGGCACCTCAGGGTCAGTTTTGCAGCCCTGTGAGTTGTGAGAAGCTAAGAAAGGGCAGGGAGAAGCGAAAGCTCCTGCTTACGGCATGCAGAGCTCTTGCATCCCTTCCAAACCAGCACGTCTCCTCCAGCCGCTCCTCCAGCCATCTCA